GTGTAAGATGGATATATGGGATTTCTGGCTATAATTACTTGTGTCCAGTGAGGAGAACTTCAAGTTAACTGCCGTCTCATGTGGTTAATCAATGCATCCCACAACAAGTGCTGGATTATGATGGAAAAGCGCCGTGTCCTTTGTATCAAGCACTAAAATGTTGTGGGGGCTAGCCTTGCAGGTTTGGCCGCTTTTGAAGGGATGTCAGTGGAGGCAACATTTGTATTTTGTAACACCTCCCCTGATGCCTAAATAAACAGGGCAAGTTTGGATTTAGGCACAACTTAAACACTCAAACAGACTGACAAAGTTTACTACTCAGCTCTGTTCAAGCTCACTTGCTATGACTGTAGCCCAGCCCATTTTTCTTCACAGGCACCTTAATTAACCCATCCTTTATGAAGGAATGGGTGACAGGAGAAGGAGAGCAGGAATGGCTCTCCCTTTCCAGAGAAGCCTTCAGCTAATTCTTAGGCACTGGAGCCCATTTACCTGTAACTTCTCCAACAAAGGAAATATTTGCTACGCTTTCCCAGAACTGTTAAGGCATCTTCGCACAGTCTTGTCACTCTGTTGACCCCTCCTGTGCAAACGTTCAGCCTTACATATACGTATGTGTTTTTTCCTATTCATCCTTTCAAGGGCATGGACAAGTGTAGATAAAGGCAAAGTCAGAAAACGTATGCTTACAAAGAAGACCTCTACAGCACAATCCCCAGCCTCATCCACAGAATTTTACAGGGGGTGACTTGGATGATCCAATTATCATTACCTTCCACATGTGTTGGCTTTATGTGTCACCAAATCACTTTTGATATATAGTGATCTAAACTGGGTTTTTTAAAGTACATGAGATGTGATTTACCATTGGCATACCCCACTAGTGAATTTCCATGGCCAAGGAGGAGTTTGAACCCAGATCTCCTGAGTCCTGGTCCGAGACACGATCCACTGCCACTATCCACTGTGCACCAGCTTTCAACCTTCTTTCTAACCCTCCCATGTTTGCTCACTGTTAATCTTCTGTCTTTTCCTTTAGCTCAGAAAATCCATCACAGAGGGAAAGATGGAACAGGCAGCCCACACACTGTCTTTGCATTGGGGGCAATGGAAGTCATCTTTCTGAAAGCACCCCAAGGGACTGATAACATCATGCATTCATTTTTATCCTTCAGCATGACAACGCAACAGGAACGATATACTCTGCAGAAGGGTCTCTCAAAAAGGACTGCAGAAGCAAATTGTTTTCTTCTTTGTTCTCTAGGGCAGATAGTTACAGAAATTCTTGGTATGCTACTTGTTACCTGAATTTACTCTCTCCACCACTCCAACTTTTCTTTCTTTCTTTATTATTCCCCGTAAGGAATAAGGTAAACATTAAGGAAAAAGGTAAACATTATTCTCTCCAAAAAGCAATGTAAATGAATGAGTTCACTTCCCTTTAATTAAGGATTTGAGGGATAGGAAGGTAGAAATATGCCAAGGCTGAACTCTCCCCCTCAGGAGCAGGGTGTCTTTCATTACCGATAGCTGGAGACAAATGGCAAAGAGTGGCCCACAGCACTTTTATTCTTTGCTTATAAGCATCTGAAAACCTGGCAGGTCCTAACTTGACAGAATGCTAGAATCCTGCTAAGCTATTCTGCTTGCACCACTAGTGCATTGCACAAGTGGTTTGACAGTTCTAGGTGTTGCACAGAGAGGTACTGGGTACCTCTTTACACAAAAAGAATGCATTGTTCATGCCACTCTGCCTCCACAATGGAGGTCTGATAGAACTGCGTGGCAGAGGGTGACACTTTTTGCCCATGTGCAACTGAATTCTGGCCTTTGCGTCTACCAAGAAGTCAACTATACGTGTTTAACAATCAACCAGAGCTTAGCCATACAAGTTTAAAAGAAAAAGAAAAGAAAACAGAGTTTCCCAAACTCTGCAATCTACATGCTTTCTTTGTTCTATTCAATATTAAGTCAAAGGTTCTTGAAGCTTTGTGTTATTTTTCTGTGCTTTTTAAATTTTATTTTATTGATCATTGTGTTTTTATGATGTTGTAAACTGCCCAGAATAGTGCATTGCGTTAATGGGGCAGTATATAAATTTAATAAATACATAAAGCAAAGCAAAGTAAAAACTCTATGTAACAATTTAATAAACCATATGGAGCTTTAGCAAGATTCTGTTTTCATTTCATTTCTTGGGCCAAGGATTCCTTACTTTGTCTAGAGACTCACTGTGGTTCCCAAGCTTGGGTCCCCAGATGTCCTTGTGCTAAAACTCCCAGAAGCCTTCACCATTAGCTATGCTGGCCAGGAGTTCTGGGAGTTGCAGTCCAAGAACATCTGGGGAACCAAGTGTGAGAAAGAGTTGCAGCCCAAGAACATCTGGGGAACCAAGTGTGAGAACCACTAGTCAAAATGAATACACAAAGAATAAACAACACTGTTCAATCTGACCAGATGAGCGGGATATAAACAATTTTTGTCCAGTTGTGTTCGACTCTAGGGGGCGGTGCTCATCCCCGTTTCCAAGCCATAGAGCCAGCGTTTGTCCGAAGACAATCTTCCGTGGTCACATGGCCAGTGCGACTTAGACACAGAATGCTGTTACCTTCCCACCGAGGTGGTCCCTATTTATCTACTTGCATTTCCCTGCTTTCGAACCACTAGGTTGGCGGGAGCTGGGACCAGCGACGGGGGCTCACACCACTAGTCTAAATGAATACACAAAGAATAAATAACACTGTTTAATTTGCTTGCTTTATGTCCTGCTGCCTATAATGTATAATAAAATGAAAAGAAAAAGCTTGATGGATAATGAAACAAGCGCTTAACATTGTAAAAAAATGGGCCACAAACCAAAGTAAAAAGTGGCAGAAATAGGGTCAGAACCTGGAATGCAGCTTTTCAGTGGCTGTCATGCAGACACAAAGAAAACTATTACAAGAGGTGGGGGAACCGAAAACAGACAACAACAAAAGGAGAAAAACAAGAGTTCTCTTCTAGGTGATCCAACACATCAAAGAGCTGGGATTAGCAACTGGATTTAGGCCTAGGTGTGGTTGCCATAATGCAGTCTTGTGACCCGTTTTAGAGAAGATGACCCTCATGTGAATTGGCTTTACTGATATATGGATAGATGATGTGGACTATCTGTGCAAATTGGCAGAGTCCAGAAAGTCACTTTTAAGAAGAATGAAAAGGCTGACAGATTGAAAGTATCCATAACTGAGCAGTGGTAGAATTATGATCTGGGTCACAGAACCTCATCTTATCAGTTTCTCACTTACGGGCCAATTCATTATATTCATTCTTCTTCAGCGCTTCATTCTTCTTAAAGGCAGCCTTCCAAAGCCTGAGTATTGTCCACTAGAATGGACTTTACACATTTTTATTGCAGGGGTGAACAAGGTGCTGCTTTTGAGATGATGCTGAACTGCAGCTTCCAACATTCCTCAAGAGAAAAAGATGAGGAGGATGGATAGCTGTTGTAGTCCAACAACATTTAAGAGGCCACCATTTGCCCACCCCTTTTCTAAGTAATGTATGCAATATTTGGAAGCCACTGATTTCTATAGATACTATGAGAGAAACAAATAAGCATGAACAAGGACTCATCTACACATTCATACCCAGGAACTTAAGAAATCAGCTTTATTCCAAACACACAGCAGGTTTTTCTCCTGACATACATTTTTATAACACTGTTGTTGTGATTCATCTTTCAGTAGGTTTTTCTCCTGACATAGATTTTTATAACACTGTTGTTGTGATTCATCTTAGGTTATACTGCAATCCCAAAGGCATGCCTGAGTCACAAGTAAAGGCCAATCATACTGCCTTCTGTTCTTTTAAAAAACTATTTCCTGTATCTACAAACATCTACTAATGGTAAGCATTTTTCGGAAGGCATCCCCACAACTTAAAAGAAATCTGTCAAGTACTGCTATTGGAAAACACACAGGGTGAAATCACCTTTGTGTAATATGAACTTACACCAGTGTAAGCATGCTCAGTGTACACCTAGGCCATCCAGATTGTTCAATTGGCCATGCAGGAACCCCTCTCCCACAGTCTAAGATGCAACTCTCCTCTCCCCCAGCAGTCTAATTAGCCATGATTTAACTTGAATTCCAGTTATTCCAGTTGTTCTGTTCCAAGTTCATCTGCAACTGCACCAAAATTTAAAATATGCCTACATTTTCAAAAACACCAGTGTTCCACCTTTTCTTACCTACTTTGTATTTTTTTTTCATTGTGCTGCCTTGTTCAAATTTCCTCTGGCATGCTATTTTCAAATGTAGTTAATTTTAACCAGAACTTTATATTTTTCCCCTCCATTATTTTCTAACCTATAGTGTGCTAATAGACTTTTTATTACTTCTGGGGGAAGGTATTACTTTCATTTTAATAAGTCACTGAGGTGCTTAATAGTCCAGATGGAGAAAAACACCCTAGTGGTTCCTTTTTAAAATAAATGTTGTTTAACTCTTGTAAAGGAGGCAACAAAACACAGAGCATAAAGTTATAGTCTTACACTTGAACAATAAACTGCAGCAATTTCTGCTTTAGTTGTTTCACCTTTGCTTCATTAACTGTTACATTTTTCCAAACATGGCTATACAGTTTTGGTCCCCAGGCCATGTGACTTGTCATTCTAATTGACTTATGAAAACATGGGCCATGTAAGGATCTCCATGTAGAATGTGGTAGAATGCCTAGAATTTCATTTTGGAAAAGGTCCATTGTAATTTCCCATTAGGCTGAGGGCTGGATTAACCAATATGCAAATAAGCTATAACCTCAGCCGAACTGAAGGCCTCAGGTTAGATTTTCTCAGTGTTAAAAATTCATTTTCCATTTTTCCAGAGGTATGAGCAGGTCAAAGCAATTTTCTGCTGAAGAAAGGAAATCTACACACCTAAAACATAAACATAAACTATCAGGTCATTGAAGGCTAAAAAAAGAGAGAGGTTTTCTAATACGGTTATTATTTTTCTGACCTGTAAATAAATCTGATTCTGAGATTTCTTTTGGCATTCAAGTTGTTCTACCTCCTCTTGTAGCTTCAAGAGCTGGAAAAATTCTTCTTCATACCTAAGAGGAGTTAAGGAGGAGAAATAAATAACTGATGGCTTGGACATAATGGTAAAGCAAAGTTTGCTGTGTGTTTTGTGCTGTCAATTTGGAATTTATAGTGACCCTAATAGAGCTTTTAAGATAAATGTGCTATTTCAGGAGTGGTTTTACCAGTTCCACTCCCCCAAGTCAGTTTTCCTAGCTGAACGGGGATTTGAATCATGTTCTCCAGAGCCCTAGTCCATCACTCTGTCCACTACACCACACTGGGAATCCTCAAAAAAGCAAAGTTTAGCATTGCACAAAAAGAAAGGAAGAACTCCTTTATCCCCCCATAATAGGGGATGCAGCATGGCCAACGTTCAAACTGTGTCTGATTTTAGATACAATGGCCTCAGATTCTGGCTGAATCTTACTCCAAAGAGCTTCGTGGTGAAATTATACCAGATAGACTTTATTGCAGTTTGTGGACTTTCTTTTTATTCAGGTCAGTGAATTAACTGTGTAGCACCTACTTATGCAGATACAGTACTTGGTTCCAAGTTTCTCCTCTTCCTTTTTCCTTTAGATTAGGAGGAGCGCTGCCACAGGCCTCTATTTAGAGCCCAACCAAGGAGCAATGTATCACAGAACTGGAGAGCTGTAGGGGACCTTAAGTTTCATCAAATTCAACCCCTACCATATCAGAAAATCCATTCCACATCTATCTCTGATAGATGGCCAGCCAACATTTCTTGAAAATCCTCTGATGAAGGAGGGTCCATCACCTTCCAAGGTAGTTCATTCCATTGCCAGAGCACTAATCTCAGGAAGTTCTTCCTGATGCTTAGTTGAAATCTCTTTTCTTGTAAAATAAATCCATTAGTTCAGATCCTTTAACCCAGAGCCATATAAGAGAAGCTTGTTTCATCTTCTGTCTGGCAAACCCTCACACATTAGAAAACAGCAATCATATCAACCACTCTGTCTTTTCTTCTCCAGCCTAAACACTCCCAGCTTCCTCAGCGGTCCTTCTTAGAGTTTGGCTTAAACTTTATTCAGTAAACCTGTTATCAAATCCTGTGTAAAGTTTGAATTAGAAGTCAAGGTTGCTTTCTTCTGTACTTTTTATAGACTATGTGATACTAGTCTTGCATCAACTGCAATGGCTCCTGATTCATATCCAGGCTCAGCTCAAGCTTCTGAGGCTTGCTTAAAGGGGGGTGGGGGGAACATAAATGGCTCAAGACTAGAAAGATCACTGGGAAAAAAATCTCCAATATCAACCTGATTGTACATGGAGATCAACTTTGGAAGCCTGTAATATCTTCCACTGTAGCGTTCACCCTTTTTATGCTAAATAGCTATGAATATTCATATTGTAGGCTAATATTGCTGGGAGGCGGAGCCAAGAGAAATGTAATAAAGATACAGAGTCAGAGAGTGAAAGGGGTCAGTCTGGGAGAGTGAGAGGGTGGAGAAGGAGATAGAGTGTGGTATTTGGGAGATTTGAGGTATGATTAGAGTGAAAAGTGAATAGGAACTGTAATAACAAATAGAAGGTTGTGATTGATGATAATAGAAGCTACCTGTGATTAATATTCAGAGATCTGTAATCAATCAAAACTTGGCTCTTCAGTCAGGCCTTCCCTCCAGTCAGTTAATTGATCCCTATCCTTCTTGCTTGAGTTATGCCATCTTGGTTATATACTGCTTAGAAATAGGTGTTAAAATTGTGTTTTAGATGATTTTATATTGTTTATATTGTTCTGTTTTTATTCATGTAAGCCGCCCCGAGTAGACGTTGTCTAGAGGGATGGGATAATAAGTCTAATAATAAATAAAATAAAATAAATAAATAAAAACATTTTATTTAAAAGACAGTGAAATTTGGATCTGCATCTTCATCCTTCCATAATTAATGTTGATTTAGTGGTCAACTGGTGGCAGTGGGTAAAAAGGGGTATTGGTTTGCCTTCATGTACTCTGTGTTTGGAGGGTCAGGCAAGGGGCACGAGGGTGAATGCCACATCCACTATCAAAAAATATGTGATGAGGAGACAAGTACTGTTTTGAGACAGTATGCTGGTTGCAGAAATTCCCTCTAAAATGGCATTTGATACTTGAACCGTTTAAATATATGACTGAAGGCATTAACTTGTTTATCTTTCTATCCTTTTGATTGCAAGCCCTTATTTTCATTTCTGCTATCTAGCGGTATATTGCTCAGTCTTGCTATACTATGTTATTAACACTGAGCTCTTCTTAGGCACTGGAAAACTGTTTTAAAAGTAAACAAATTTTTAAAATTAAAACTTTAAATAATTTAAAAACTTTTTGGAAGTTTTAAAAGTAAATGTTTCAAATAAAACAACAAATCAACTAAACAGAATAAAACAAAGAGTTCAGCAAACCACAAAGGAATTAAGACACTGGCCAGGGTGGGGGTTAAACAATTTGAAATGAATAGGAATTCTCCAAACATTTCCATTCTGCAGTGAGAGCATGCTCATGAGGGGAAGTAAACAAAAAGGCATCTTGTCTTCTTTGCAAACATGGATGGATGAGCCCGTGTGGCAGTGCCTCAGGCTATGATGAGACTGTATACTCCAACACCTCTCTAAACATCCTGGGAGTCCCATGCCATTAACTAAAACAGAGGTGCCTGAAGGAAACATTTCATGACTCTTTTCATTTCCACGCAGAGAAGAGCTTTTATGTGCTTTTAACATTGCTTCCTCCTGTTTCCCTTTATTTAATTTTTTGTGTGTCTATATTTAGAATTTAAAAGCCAAACAAAAATCATTCAAACAAAATCAGAAGCATAAGCCAAGATGTATTAGCAAATGTTATGGAAGTTTCGAAATGAACACTGGAGAACTTTGTTGTCTGTCCAGTTTAGGAAACAAAACAGCAATCTATTGTTTTATAGTTCAAGGCAGCTGGGATGAGTCATGCATCTTAAGCAGCCATAACCTTTGGGATGACAGTCAAAAAAGGAGACAGGGCTCCCTCATCTTTAATAGCTGCATCACAGAAGCAGCCCTGACATGAGCCACTGCCTGAGGCAGGCAGGCAGGCAGGCAAAGGCCACCTCTCCCATCAGTCTCCCATTCCCCTACTCTACACATTCCACCACTGTAGCAAGTCAATAACATCCTGCCCTGCTAGCTCAATGTACCACGTTATGGGTATGTCTAACCCTCCAGCTTACTACAGCAGTCGTTTTTGAAACCAATTGTTGGAATCCTGCTCCCCAGATAGATTTAACAGTGCACATATAGGGAAACACTTGTTGAGAGCACATGTGCTGTTGTGAGCCAGGCCACCACATTCTCAGGCTTTGTTGTCATATGTCTCATGCCACCCACCATTTTGTCAGAGAACCTGAATCCTCTTGTGACAGGAGAACAAAAAGCCAACTCTTTTTTGAGAAGGATATACATATGGTATATCACCTCCTCACATTTCATAAATATTTTAGTACATATTTTCATGTGACAACACTGAAGAAATGACACTTGGCTACAATGTAAAGCAGTGAGTATACAGCTTGTATAACAGTGTAGAAGTTGAGTGTCAGTGCTCAGCATCATATCCAGAGGTTGGCTTTGGGAAATATACGTAGGAGTGCTGCCAGCATTACTGCAGAGGTTGAAGGGGTGGGGGAGTCAGCCTGTCAGTTCTCTGACCATACGCCACACACTGCATTAAATTGGTCTCCAGGGCTGTCGTCCCAGAAGGAAG